TTTTACATTTAGTGTTTAATCGAGAAGCGAATAAGTCAATAGAATTTGGACCGAAGGAATGAGTGATCTTTTTATATGCGTAGTCCGATAACTCCCACTCCGTGTCAATATTGTTGATTCTTGATGCCCTATCGGCTTCAATGTTTTCTTTGGAAGCTATGTATGACGCTGTAATAAGCAGTTTCCTACTTTCACTGCAAAAACAGGTGTCTATATTTGAGACACTTTTGTCCTCATTTGTAAGACGTTTTGGGATGTCTTTCAGGAAGACGTTAAAAGTGACTATTTTGGAGACGTTTAAAGTGTCTTCATTCAGATGAAATTTACTGCTTGAATCGATACATAACCTAAAAATGCATGTATGCATTGATATTGCGCGGGAAACTTTCATCGAGACGAGGCAAGACGAATATTACCGAAGATACTCGAATACACAAAATGTCTTTTATTCAAAGTGTCTTACTTCGAAAACGTATTAAATTAGCAAAAATGACTTAAATATAGACACTTTTACCGTCTACATTATATGTCTTAAATTATAAGCACTGAAAGTGACTTGTTTACATTTGTAAGACGCAAGAAATGTCTCAAATTTTTAGACACTTTGCATGAAAGACAGATGAATTAGTCATTTATTCCAGACTAGACGTTTTCAAAATGTCTAATGTCTTAAAATAAGACGTTTCGAAGACGCTAGTTTTTGCAGTGTTCGCACCATTGCCAGAGCTGACGAGTTAACTCATTTAATTTTGGGTATTGTACCCCGCCTGCTTTATTTACGTATGCTATAGCTGTAGTATTATCGAGTCGTAACAAAATTTCGCAATTTTGTTTTTCGTTTGCGAAACATTTTAATGCGAAGAAAGCAGCCAGGAGTTCGAGATAATTGATATGACATTTTCTTTCCAATTCACTCCAGAACCCATGACTGCTTACGACATTCCAACAAGAACCCCAGCCTGAAAGTGAGGCATCCGAACTTATTTCTAATGCGAATTGACGTGACCTTATACGATTTTTACTCGACAAAATATTTTCTTTCCACCAAAAAAGGTCCTCTTCTAGGTTCTTTTCGATTATCATGTTTGCGTCATAGTTGTCTGCCAGTAAGATCAAAGCCAAGTACTTTGCTCTTTCTAATCTTTTACAATAGGTAAGACTATATGTCACCGCTGGACAGCAAGAATTTAAGATCCCTAACAGTTTAGCAAAATCTCTTATTTTTATTTGACTACCTACGTTAAACTGGTCAGAGTTTAAAAATTCGCAATTTTTTCTCTTCTGGTAGTTCTAGTTGAAATTTTACCGAATCTATTATAAACCTTAGATATTTACATTTCTGCGAGGGTATTAAACAACTCTTTTTAAAGTTAAGAAGAAAACCTAATTTTTGGAGCAATGAAACCGTTTTTTCCAGGTTGAGTTTACATAAATTTCGAGTTTTTCCGATGCATAATATGTCATCTAAATAGATAACGGATAAGAGACCTTGTGATCGTAAATTATTCATGACTGGTTTCATAATTTTGGTGAAAACATAAGGGCTAGTGCATAAACCGAAAGGCAAGCACGTGAATTGGTATAAGATACCCTCAAATCGGAATCTCAAAAATTTTCTGTGTTCTATGTCTACGGAGACCAGATTAAAGGCGTCCTGCAAATCGATTGAACCCATAAATGCACCTTGTGTGCCCGAGTCGAACTTTTAGACCTGCTTACCTCCTGGTAAATATAATTTAACCCTAACCTGCACCTAACAAACCCTTGGTGTTTTTTTCCTCCTGCGTAAGTTCTATTTAACTCTGACAACTCCTTTTTAAGTCCTAATTGAACCTTAAACCCTGTATTGCTTCTACCACATTCTTACGCAATAGGAAATGTTACGTGCGGTACAAGATATTCAACTTATTATTGTTTTGCAAATTACAAAATTTTTTATTTTGAAAATTTCACGAAAGAATTCAATTATTTTCTAAAATTTTAATAAATCCTTCGAAAAAATTCAATTATTTTTATAACTAGTAAAATTCTTCCGAAGAATTCAATTAATTTTATAAATAGTAAAATTCTTTGCAGGAATTCAATTATTTTCAAAACAATTTTAATTGAATTCCTTAGATGAATTCAAATATTTTAAAATATTTTCATAAATTGCAATTATTTTCTTAAACTTTAATAAATTCTTCGAAATAATTCAACTATTTTTATAAATACTAAAACTCTTTGCAAGAATTAAATAATTATTAACCCAATTAAAATAAAATTAAACGAAAGAATTTAATTATTTTCAAAAATTCCCATAAAATTTAGTTTCAACAAGAATTTAAAATTTTTGAAAAACAATATTTAATTATTCTCAAAATATTTAAAAAAATTCTATATAAGAATTAAATTACTAGCTCAATACAATTTTTGAATATATTCGTCAAAAGAATTGAAATAATTCTATTATTTTCGAAAAGTAATTAAAATTCTTATGATGAATTCAATTATTTTGAATATTCTTAATTTTAATAAAATTCTTTAAAGAAATTCAATTATTTTCGAAACAACTTTAATTGAATTTTTCGAAAAAATTTCATGATTTTTAAATATTTCTATAAAATTCTTCATAAACAATTTAATTATTTCTTAAAATTTTAATAAATTCTTCGCAAGGAATTACTTATTTTCAATACAATTTTAATAAAATTCTTCTTCATAAAATTCAATTGCTTTCGAAATTTTCAATTAAAATTATTAAAGAAACTCCATTAGTTTAAAAAAAAATTCAAAGAAATTTTTCAAAAAAATTTAATTAGGATTTTTAAAAATATTAATAAAATTCTTTGCGAGAATTTAGTTATTTTTCTAAATAAAGAAATTCTTTGAAGGAATATTCTATTATTATCAAATTTTTTGATAAAATTCTTTGCAACAATTCGAAGATTTTCAATACATTAATTTTAAAATTGAAAATATTTGAAAAGAAAAATTAAAAAAAGATTAAGAAACCAAAATGTAAACAACAATTAACTTCAAACTGCGAATAGGTTACCGAAACATGTACTTTTTTATTATTAATTTATAAATATTATTTTTAACTGAAATGTTTTGACATTTTTTTTAAATAATAAAAATATTAATTTATGAATGTTTAAAGGTTATTATTATTAAACAATTTATTTATTTGCTGTAGTGTATTAGTGTCAATTAATGCTTAATTAAATCACTCAACAAGTCACTGAAAATAGAGCGTCTGTGTTCAGTTAGGTTCCGTAGCATAGTGGTTAGGGCGTTAGTTTCGTAGTCCGTAGTTCGTAGGTCGTAGGTTTAAGTCTCGCGTGCGTTAGATTTTATTTATTTCGTAGGTTTGCGTTTATTCCAATTTTTCTGTATTGTATAGGTATAAGTATGCAATTTAATGATTATATACACCGTTAAATAATTTAATTAACAAATATTAAATTAAAATTTTTTTTTATATATAAATGGATATGCATTAATCCCCACATATATACTAACATTATTTATGAATTCGCTATTGGTCACGATTAAATTAAAAAAAAAGTAAAAATCATTAAATAATAATGCCATTTATTAATAATTAAAGTTATTATAAAAATTAGTTAAAAATGATCTCAAATATGCTATGAGCAGTTTTTCCAGGGTTTTTGGAGAGGAAAGAATTCTGTAAGTAAGGGTCAAGCAGTATTTAATAAGGTTCTAGGAACACCTGCTTTCCCCTTTTTACCATCTAAATTTGTCGCTAACCAGGGGTTTGCAGGAGGTAATCAGAGTTAACTTGCAATGCAAATAAACTCTGCTTTCATCCTATTACATCCTTACAAACCCTCAGTTTTAAGGAGGTAAGCAGGTCTAAAAGTTCGACTCGGGTGAGTAAGTTTTTTGCGACCCGAATATCTTCTAACTTAAAATGAGGATTTATGTATGAATTAAGTTTTTTTAAGTTAAATATGAATCTATACAAACCACTGGGTCTTCTAGTCAGAAAGTAAGAGGACAAGAATTAACCTTTACAGTCTTTCACAATTTCGATAGCCTTTTTTGATAATAATTTTGAAATTTCGATTCGTAAATTATCATTATCTTTACAAGGTTCTGGTGGAGGGTATACTTGATGAGGAATAGTATGAAAGGGTATTTTATACCCCTGTATACATGATAAGATAAACTTATCTTGTGTTAAATTAGACCAGGTCTTGTAAAATTTACACAACCGACCGGCAACGTCGCTTACCAGATTTATTTCTTGTTCGTTGATCGGAGGTTCTGCTGAGTCGGAGTCTGTTTCGGCTTCTGAGTCCAATTGGAGTTCCTGATGTGTGTCCTGAACTTCGTGTTGGACTGGGGTTTCCATGTTACCCGCTGAGAACCGTTCACCTGCCGGGATTTTGCCTGTGAACCCTTCCAGTTTCCCTGAGACATTTTTTGCGCTGGAGATTTAAAAGAATTTTTTCCCGGCGCTTTAATTTTGGCGCTTAATTTTTCCACTGCTTGGGCATCTTTAATGAATTCGCCAAATTTTGCGCCATAGAGCCATTCGTCGGGAATTGTTGCCTCTAGAGTTTGCTTAAGCGACTTGTCTAAACTCGGTGTGATGAATGATTTTCTGCAAACTGAATGTTGGTGAAATACTGCGGCTATTAAGCGACCGGCGTCGCCTATGTGTTGTATGAGCTGCAGGCGATCAATTCCTTCTTCGGGCTCTGAAAGTAAAAGAGACATGGTGGCGGCTAGTGCAGACAAGGCTGTTCCTGTGCAGTTTTGAGTTTCTATAAAGTGTTGATCTCGTTTTATTCCAATGTCTGTCATTATAGGGACGATTTCGAGGTTAACTTTTGGTGCTTCTGTATATAAGTCGCCTGAGCGACAATACTTTTGCAATAATTTTCTTTGTTCCTCAGGAATTATGCCTTTTTGAATTAATTCCTTCCAAAATATTTTTAACTGAGCAGGTATGTCGACTTTAATGCCTCCAGATGAGGTTGGATTGTATCCTAATGCGCGTCTAGAACTTCGTTGTCTAGAGAGATATTTTCGTCATTTTCATCCATTGAATTCGAATCTGTATTATTTATTGACTTTTCCTGCTGATAGTCCTCGGCTAATGATGAACTTTCTGGATTTTTTGAATTATCGTTTTTGTTTTGATCATTATTATTTGTCTGATCTAACCTCAAAATTGATGTGTCATTTTGCTCGCTTTTATTTTTGTCTCGATTTTCCTCGGCATTACTTGCCTGCGTTCCTAGAATAAGTACATAAATTTGTTAGTGCTTATTGCACGAAATGTGACGTAAATATTCGTGAGGAATTTGTCACAAGGAATAAACCTTTATTAGGACTGACGATTCGTGTGGAATGACAGGAGAGCAAAAGTTCGTGTGGAACTTGACACGGTATTTTTCTTATAGAAAAATATCAGAAAATTTTCAGAGATTTTTATATAAAAAGAAAAAAGACTTTCGATGATTTTTACTTACCAGCTAACAAATTTTTTGACACGATGTCGTTGAGTCCAGAAGTGAGGTTAGAAACTTGATTTTCGAGTTTTTCGAGTCTATCCTCTTTTCTTTTCTTTTTGGAATCTTTTTCCCGTGATCTGCTTCTAGATCGTTTCCTTTTTGATGATTTTCCCATATTCGCGAACAATAAAAAATAAACTTAAATAAATATAACTTGGGAATGCGATTTTTATACGTCTGAAGTTTCGTTCACAACAAACAACAATGAAGGAAACAGCGTATCAAGAATAGATGGCGCTATTAAAGCGCGCGGAAACCTTTTTTTCAAATTTAAACTCTAAAGAAGTTGTGAAGTTTCAAGCATAACTAGACACTACTACATGTAATCTCGAGAACGAGGTGCAAATATAATGAGTATCGTTAGTTTTCATTGCAGGATGGCTTATAATTGACGAATTATTAATTTAATTTGACGGAATAATATTCTAAAGTGTTTGACAAAATTATTTAATTCTATCGAAAATGAACGAGTGCAGTGTAAACGTATTGAATTTGATCATAAATTGAAAATTATTTATAGTGAGGAAAAAAGCAATAGAACCGTGTGGAACAAGAATAATTTAGAAACCGTTATTCAAGTTTTAAAAGAGTTCGATATAAAATAAAATATGTAAGAACATAAATTATTTGTTCATGTATTTGAATAACTTGAAGGTATGATTTCGTCTATTGGCCTGAAACGTCTTAGGCGATTAGCTAAGTGCGTAGTCAGTTGGCTAACTGGCGGATTTACTCAGGCCAATAGAAGAATATAAGCAATTATTACGTTCATTTGTCTATTGGGCGCCGGTTAGCTAACCGCCTATATATATATATGGGACATTCCACGTCAACACGGACAGAGCTCTAAACAAAAATTGCTTTGATGGATTTAAACGTTCTAGGGCTTAAAAGATTTCTACATTCATGTACTTTAAGATGCCGATGGGCGTTTTTTGCAAAATTCCATTTCCGATGCCAATAGAACTATCAAAAGTCAAAAGGTCCAAAAATCTCAAAATACTTTTATGAATTAAAAGCAAAAAACGAGGTAAATTATTCTGTAACTCATTCTTTATCATTTTTTAGGGTTCTCGAATATAAATCTAAAGTTTTTTTTTAAAAATCCAAAATGGCGAAATCAATATGGCGGACAAAATTCAAATTTGATCAGATTCGATTAAAACTTGTTACTCGGGGGTTTTTAGGGTCGCTGATTACGAATCTGAAGTCACTTTTTAGAAATTCAAAATGGCGGATCCAATATGGCGGAAAAAATGTTCAAATTTGATCCGATTCCCTTAAAACGTGTTACTCGGGGGCTTTTGGGGTCGCAGATTATGAATATGAAGTTACTTTGTGTTTGAGACTTCAAATTCATAATCAGATACGCTAAAAACCACCGAGTAACACTTTTTAATTAAATCTGATCAAATTAAAAAATTTGATCCGACATTTTTTGAATTTCTACAAAGTAACTTCATATTCATATTCTGCGACCCCAAAAGCCCCCGAGTAACACGTTTTAAGGGAATCGGATCAAATTTGAAAATTTTTTCCGCCATATTGGATCCGCCATTTTGAATTTTTAAAAAGTGACTTCAGAATCGTAATCAGCGACCCTAAAAACCCCCGAGTAACAAGTTTTAATCGAATCTGATCAAATTTGAATTTTGTCCGCCATATTGAATTCGCCATTTTGGATTTAAAAAAAAAACTTTAGATTTATATTCGGGAACCCTAAAAACTGATAAAGAATGAGTTACAGAATAATTTACCTCGTTTTTTGCTTTTAATTCATAAAAGTATTTTGAGATTTTTGGACCTTTTGACTTTTGACAGTTCTATTGGCATCGGAAATGGAATTTTGCAAAAAACGCCCATCGGCATCTTAAAGTACATGAACGTAGAAATCTTTTAAGCCCTAGAACGTTTAAATCCATCAAAGCAATTTTTGTTTAGAGCTCTGTCCGTGTTGACGTGGAATGTCCCATATATATTGTATCTAATACTCACAGTTTCAGTCAATATTACATTCAATTGATAGTAGTTTATCTCCATTTGCGACATTTTTTGGACATACATCTAAAAAATTAAGGTACTAAAAATTTACATAAAAATGGGCAAACAATCGATGCTTCTTGAAAATTCAATTATAGTTGGTGAGGCACTTAGCGGCTGCTCTCAACCACGTGACATGTGTCCAAAGTACAGCCCGTAGGCAGATCTACGTGTCAATAATGTCGAGCTCACAATAATTGTTTGCCAAGAAAGACGATGCGAGGAGAAAGGCTTAGAAATTCTGATAACTTGTTCATTTTCCGTAGAAACTTTAGAGTTGTACACGCATAAGTCTGTCACATATATATATATATATATATATATATATATATTTCTCTCTCTTAGTCTAAATGCTATTTACGTATCTACCGAATCACCTACGCAAAAGAAAAATAGTGAACAATGCCGTATGCGCGATGTTATACATACGACTATGGTTAAAATATAGCGAGTACCTGCAATATATATATATACATATACAGTCTTTTCCTAGAAACCATCATGCCTAAAAATTTCGGTCATTAAAGAGTTAATGTAAATAAAAACCTATTTGTTTTTTCGATAAATGAGATGAAACTGGGCTGTCCAAATATTTGAAAAGTATGAAAGCTCAAAATCTTGAAATAGACGTTTCATAAATAGATTTTAGCCAATCACTCGGCCAATCATTTATTTTATCTTATTATATGTATGCTTAATATGTCATTGAGTTGTGTTTATTTTATTCAGCCGTTAGCCACTTAATGTATATAGTTGAAAATTTTCACCGATAATGTCAAGTGCTAATTAATATCCTGTATATTATTAATATTGATATATACAATTATTATCTGCTAAAGGCTTTTGTATATATCTATACTTAATATCTATTCGTATATAATAATATTGTTGTATTGTTTTACGAAACCTTACTATCAATTTTATGTTCAATTTTTCGCGTTTTAAATATGAAATATTATTATTCATTTGGTCGGTGAAAATTCATCGATTATCTTATTTCAAGTATCAATAGCATGATAAACAATATTTTTCACTGATATTAACGTGTCACGAAGTGAAATAAATAAACAACTTAAATAACTTATGTTTTTTTTTATTGATTAAAGATCAGACTTTTGTCGTAACAAAAGTCAGTCTATTCGTAGGTATAGTGTTAGGTACAATGCTGTTAGATGGTGGGTGAGCTTGGTATTTAACCCATCAATTGTTACTCAATCCCTTGATTCTAAACCTTATCTTATTTAATATAAATTAGGTTACTTAAATACAGAGTTTCGGCTGTTTTCCTAAAATTACCAAATTGACATAAAAATAAGTAGTTCAAGGGTTTACAAATACAAAAGTTTTACACGTGCGTTACACCCTCTTTGCTAGATATGTTTTACACCTGGAAAACGTTTATTTTGATAATTTCCTGAATCTTATAGGTTTGTCATCTAATTTACTTTCTTCGGACGTACTGGGTGTATATGTTACTAATTGAGGTGATATATCGTTTTTAATTTCGTTTTTTGTACAAAACAAATGGATACAAATTTTTGGGATATTATCTTTTACAATTTTAAAAAATCCACATTTACATAACATAAATACAGTGGTACATATTATAAAAATATATCCTAAATAACTGAGTGTTTCATTAACCGTTTCCTTCCAAGATTTAGTCCTTCTTTCCAAATTTATATTATTGATTGTATTTTCTATTTCATTTAATGTTTTTCCTAAACTAGTTATTTGATTTGAATCTACTTGGTTTTGTAACGGTATTATTCGGTCTTTTAACATATTTAACTCGTTCTCAGAATAGGGAATAGTTATATTTTTGAAATATTTTTTATATTTTACTATTATATTACTTTTCTTTAATTTTATTATTGAATCATCGAGGCTTAAGATGCAATTTTCTTGGGTTGTAATTAATGTTGGGGAGCTAATTGATTTTTCACTATTCTGAGAATTACATAAAATTTGTAAATTCATCGGAGATTGTGGTATAAAGATATATCCTTGTTTGTCCTTTAATTGAATAAAAACATATTTATCAATTTTCAACACACTCATTTCACAAGTTTTAATATCAATAGATTTTGTTTTTGATTTAATGATTTGTGTTTCGCATGTTTGTACGTCCGATAAAATATATGTAGGATGATTTCTCGAACAAATAAAACTTTTATCAGCTTTTTTACATTTTTCTATTTCGTTTTCGGATATAGGAACATAAAAGGTTTTAATGGAATTTATTAGGATATATTGTTCTCTAGGAACTGGAATAATAAAGTGATCTCCAATCTTTTGAGGAATAGGGATTAAATGTTGGATATAATAATCATCGGACTCTAATATAGGAACTTTAATCGAGTAGATTAAGGTTTGACTATGAATAACAATACTTATTTCAGACATATCTATAATATGTTGAAACATATTTTTATTTAATGGTATACTGAATTTGGTGTTATATTTATTTTCAAATTCTATTAATGCTTCTATTAGTAATGATGGTGTTAAAATTTGTGGATGCACTATACCGTGCTTTCCATCATTAATAGAATTTATCAACAAACCAACATCTTGACTTAATTCGTCAATAAGCATCGCTACTATAGTAATTTGATTAGAGAATATTATATTTTTTGTGTTATTATTTACTCCTTCTGTTAAACGATTAAATTTCTCTATATTTTCTTTACTATGTCTTAATAAGATCTCGGGATTGTAGGATGATTCTAGAATGCTTTTTATAACTTTAGTTTGGTTTTTTATAGCGCTCGCGAGTTTTGCATTGTTGTCGTATAATTTATCTAATTCTGAATTGACATATGATAGATCATTTTCGTCTAATGATCCAAATAATGTTTTTGATACAGTTCCGACGAAATTAAAGAGACCGCGTTTGTTTCTATTGACTTTTCCTATTATTTCATTAAACAGTATTATTTGATCGTTTAATCTTTCCAATCTAGCTTTAAGTAATTTTAATTCGAAGTGTTCTGTGCATCTTAAACATATGTTGTATGTAGCGGTGTATATTTTCTCAATTTCTTGATAACGAGTGTCTATGTTGTCGGTTTG